CTGACCATACAGCTTTCTTTGATGTTGAAGCATCTTGCGAGAGGGGGGACTTTGGTGAGTCTTGAAAGCTCCCGAGGCGTTGGAGCTGCTGGCATAGGTAATGCAGTGGTATGGCGTCGTTCATCATCCAACATTCTTTTTCCTACTTCGACACTTCACTGACTATTTCACTGAAGTCAGCATTGAGGTGGACGAGGACGACACCACCAACCTCGGTAACTATGAAAACTTTGACAGCCTTAAGAGCGCCTTCGTGTAGGGATCTACGTCGTTTGTCGTGGATTCAATCCTATCGACGAGCTGACCGATGCTGGGCTCGACGTAGATTCGTCACATCAGGGAAATCCTCTGAGGAGGAGAAAGTTCACTCTTAAGCGCTTTCTGTGAGTATTAATGATAAAGGAGTCTATTTAGCAAATGGGGCCGATATGCCCACTACAGAGTATATCAGTCAGAAATATATCTGGCAAATGGGGCCGATATGCCCACTACAGAGTATATCAGTCAGAAATATATCTGGCAAATGGGGCCGATATGCCCACTACAGAGTATATCAGTCAGAAATATATCTGGCAAATGGGGCCGGTATGCCCCCTACAGAGTATATCAGTCAGAAATCTATCTGGCAAACGGGGCCGGTATGCCCACTATAGAGTATACCATTCAGAAATCTATCTGGCAAATGGGGCCGGTATGCCCACTGCAGAGTATACCATTCAGAAATCTATCTGGCAAGTGGGGCCGGTATGCCCACTACAGAGTATACCATTCAGAAATCTATCTGGCAAGTGGGGCCGATATGCCCACTATAGAGTATATCATTCAGAAATTTATCTGGCAAGTGGGGCCGATATGCCCGCTAAAGCACGGGTAGATGAACCTTATTCCTTATTCGCAAATATGGTGGACTCATGTTAACCTACGGGCCAAATTTCTGTCGTCACTAGTGTATGTGGATTCCTCATCCTCGGGCATAGGGGCCCCATTCGTCCGTCCCAGTGCGCCATTGATATTAATGCGAGCCTCTCAGAGACGGTTTCCAGCACACAGATAGTCATGCAGACGACGTACTCATGTGGATGCTGAATAAAGAGTCTTTACAGTGGACGTGAGTGCAGAATGGAAGGATACCACATTAGCACGGCTATCACAGCCCTAGGCTGATTCGGGCACTTGTCTGACTGTCAAGCGTCTTGACTCGTGGCTTCAGGGTGAACAAGTACCGCCAAGCCCTGGATTCGGTCTTCGCTATGCTTGAACCTCGTTTACGTGAGCTTGCAGCTAGAGAAGGGAAGCCTAAGGTAAACGAGAGAGTTGTATAGTGGCCTACTCTCGCTCCTCGAGATGGACGTTACCGTATCATCAACCGATGGGCAAGAATCTGTTACGAAGGGAAGTACCGAGGCCGCGGAGAGTAACGAGTTGGGTCTCTTTCCGGTCTCTTTCCGGAATGCACCCTGGTGAATTTTCGGTAGTTGGCCCGGATAGAGGAGCTCCATCATCGAATGGCTCGAGCTCTAGTGGAGCTATGGTCGCAGCGTCCACTGCTATCCACGATGCAGATCATTCCTCTGGGAGACTACATGAACTCCCTGCCAGGAATGGTAAGTCTGAGGCTCTTTTCGACATGCAAATCATTGTTAGTTGGAGAGGAACGACGACCTCCGTCGAATATCAGCGTGCGCCCCATTGGAGATACCGTCGCTGTTGTGGAGGGTAATGAGACTCTTTTCGATACCCGTCCCAACGAATTATTGCTAGTTGGAACGGATGGAAGAGCTCCGTTAGCTATTGACTCGCGCTCCATTGGCGATACGGCCACACCGTTCATTCCTACAGAAGGTGTGGGCCATGCCTCTGGCGATCTGTATGATGTCCCTGCCGTGCAACGTATGGTTAGAAGCTCCTTTCGATACGCGTTCTGACGAATTTTTGCTAGCTGGATCGGGTGGAAGAGCTTCGTTACCGCCCGGTGTGCGCTGTACTGACGATGCGGCTC